ACACACACACACACACCCCCTCCCTCAGACAAACCCCACCATCAGCATGTGGATTCATGTGGGGGAAAAACATCGGAAACACTACTCAAATGGTATAAGCTGTTGTGCAATCGACTGCACAAACAGATTAAGAAAGAATTCAGGCAAATGTTTTGACAGACAGCACTGTATTAAAGAGAAGACGAGCGACATTTCAGGAGCTGCGTAACATTAGCAGTACACAGTCGTGTGTTATGTGTGCTGCTGATAAAGAGTTATGTGACTGCATACTATGTATACTGTACTGTATATAGTATACATATACTATGTATATGTATACTGTGGTTCTTATTGTCATCTGATGCATTTCAATGATCAAAACGTGCATTCATAGCTTCAAATGAGTCCAATATGAAATCTAAAAATCTAATGTTACTTTCTAAATCATTTTGAATATGCATATTTTTTATTGTTTTGCATTATGTTATTATGGTATTTATTTATTATGATAGATTATTATGACAAAAAAAAAAAATGTCTATACTGACAGCCATAAGAGGCCGGTCCTATCCTAGCAGGCAGTGGGTGACACGCAGGGGACAACCACAGAGAGCAACTACCACAGTCTTATGAGAGCAAAACATTTTTGGTATTCAGTCTGAATATGTATTCCTTATTTTTATGTATTAGGGTGCAGTATGCCAAAGGAACAGCCCCGCTTGAGCGAGCACAGTCCTCGTGCTACATCCAGCAAGAATGCTAAAGATAAGAGCAACAGTACGACTCTGCTGGCAATGCGTAACACCAAAGACTCCGACTCCAGTGGACGGGGCTCCCGCTGCAGTTCAGAAAAAGACTCTGGCTACTCTGGTGAGTTAATGAGTAAGAATGACAATTTGCCAAGTTTTATTCCTGACAGCCATTTCCCATACACTCCCATTTGCAAGTCAGCTCAGGCAGTGCTAATTATGATAACACAGTGCAATAAATAATGGGTAGGACATTTTATTTACATGAAACAATGACAAAGAGGTTGTTTTGCTGACTTTCAGGTTTAATTTGATTACATTTACATCCACATAAAAAGTGTAGGAACTGTTAACTTTTACATTTAAATCTAAATCAATTGAAGAAAGTGAACATACACTGAAATGAATCTATTTATTTCATATTTGGTGTCAAATCCCTTGCTGCCAATGACTGTAGTCTATGACCAACAGACTGATGATGCAGCAATCCAAATACTGTACCTGCCACTCTCGCTCTTATCTCCAGTGTTACGGTAAATGCAGCAAAGTCGACTAAACTCCTTTTTAGAGAGACGTGTAACAGCGTCTCTGTCTGCTTGTCTACCGTGCTGTGTGATCGACTCCTCAGCTGGCAGCGCTGGCAGCAGCCGGCGAGAGAGAACTGCAGCGAAATCCTGTTCTGAGGCTGCACAGCGCCGTTCGCTTGTTTATTCAAACGTGTCCAAATTGCACCAAATTCAGCACTATAACTCACTGGGTCTCCAGAAATACACCCGCCAAATGTGAAGTGAGTCAGATGAACAGTTGTCGAGAAGAGTGAAGAACACACACACACACACACACACACACACTCACTCACATGCAGGCTTCGTACAGACAGCGACCACTCTGTCAATCTCTCAGTGACAGCAGAGGCAAAACCAATACAAGTTTCCATGTAGTTGTCTTGGCAACATATTAGGCCACACAAATCTAATCCAAGCCTCAGTATGTGTGTGCAAAAGAAGTTTTCAAGTGAATTACGGAGTAGAAATATGAATGTATGAAAGCATGTCGTCCTTCTTCTTTTCCTTTCTCTGAACATAAAGTACATATTTATATTATTACACACAGCATAGAAAAATAGTGTGTGTGGAAAAGTGCAATAACATCACTACTAACTTACATCACAAAAGTTCGGCTGTCCCTTTGAGCATGGCTTTACTCTGTATCTGTCAGCATTGCTCACTTCTTTCTGTTCCAACTTCCCTGCAGACGGCTCAGACTGGCAGCAGACAGATGCAGACGACCAGCCGAGAAACAACAGCCAGTGCAGAGGCCGCAAGCCTGCAGAAGCTTTACAGCCAGGTCAAAACCAAGAACCTGGCCGCGGGAATCCTGCCCGGATGCCTACAGGCCAGGAGCTCTCACCCATTTACATAATCAGGAACACAGTGCTTGAGCAGGTAAGATAGGCCTAGGTGCAGACAGTGAGGTCAGGAATACACACTGTTCCTCTGCTGATAATGATTCTCGTCAACTGTGAAAGGTAAGAAATGAGGTGTGGCAGTGGAAACCAAAACCTTGGCACAACAAGAGCTGGGAGTGAGGCAAGTAGGGAGATGAAGGATGGCATGAGTGATTTATAAACAGGCAAAGTGAGGCATTATGTCAAAGATAGGCCAGGGTGACTTACTGTTACAGAAGGAGTGGCATGCTTTTGACTTGCATGTTTTTTCCTGATTAAAGCCAAAGTTTTTGCAGAAATGTATTATTTTACTAAAAAGGGACCCTCGTTTTCATCATGTATCTGTCAGAAACAGAGAGGAACAAGAGTATGAATATGTAATAGCTCCCTTTCTTACAATTATATTTCTTTATAATGTACTAAATTTACTCAGGCTGCTTCTAATACTGCCCTCTATGTTTATCCTATTCTCCTTCCTCCCCATGCCACCAGCCGGACATGATCCAGAAAAGAGCTCAGCTGCCCCGGAGAAATGGAAGCAGGGAGACCGGCAGTCCTGGTGCTGCCCACATGATCCTTTTACAGCAACCCAGCCTGTTGCCGGCCACCCTCCAGCTCCACAACCCCTCGTCCCGGAAGTCCAACGCCACAGGAAAGAAAATAAATGCCACATACCTACCAATTCTCAACTCCTACCCGCGCATTGCGCCACACCCCAGCAAGAAGCCACCTGATAAATCTTCAAATGACGACTCCCAGAATCTGAGCAAGAGGGTTTTCACAGAAAACAAGAGTGATGACACATCCGTGACAGGGAATCTAGCTGAGCAGCAACTTTATAAGCAACCGAAATTAATCTCTGGGCAGCCATGTACCTCTTCAAGCAGAGATAGCTTATCCTCCACCAGTCCCACTACTGTCTCCTCAAGCCAGGGCTCCCCGTCTGGGACCAGTCTGTCCACCCCCTCCTCCTTCCTGGCAGCCAGAAGACTCCACAGAAACGGCACCACCAGTACTCGCCACCGCCGTTTCCTCAACACAGTAGAAATCCTCCGACAGTCAGGCCTGTTGAACATTACCCTGCGCACAAAGGAGCTGCTGCGCCAGAGCATTGCCACCGAGCGGGACATTGCCCAGCTCCGCCAGCACACCGAGCTACTGTGCCGGGCTGCCAGCAACCCCAGCTGCAGCCTGAACGGTATCTCAGCCTGGGATCATCTACACCGAGCCATGGCCAAGTCC